TCTTTTCTCCTTTGATAAGAATGTTGTTTATTGGTCCAGTGGTGAGGATTTTTGTTTTCTTTTCATTGAGATACAATTCACACTGAATTCCCTGTATACCTGGTAGGAATTCCCACTTGGTCATGATGTGTTATTTTTTTCATATGTTGTTAGATTCCATTGTCTAGTATTTGTTGAGAATGTTTGCATCTCTGTTTATGAGGTATATTGGTATATAATTTTCTGTTTTAGTGAAGATGTCTTTACTTGGTTTTGTTTCTCTACCTGTTCAAGTTTTTTTGTTAAACTCCAGTCTGTTAGTTTAGGTAGTTTGTGTGTTTCAAGGAATTTGTCTTCTAAATTTTCAAATTTGTTGGAGTATAATTCTTTGTGGTATTGTTATTGCCCTTTTTATTTCCGTTGGTTTTGTTGTGACTTCATCCATATAGTTACTTATTGGTGTTATTTATATCTTCTCCATCTTTTCTTTTGTTAGATTTGCCAGTGGTTTGCTGATTTTATTAATCCTTTCAAAGAATCTTGTTGATTCTTTCTATTATTTTTCTCTTTTCTATTTCATTTATTTCTGCTCTAACCTTTATTATTTATTTCTTTTGTTCTGGTGGCTGTAGGCTTACTTTGATGGTCGTTTTCTGTTTGTTGAAGATGTTGGGTTAAGGTGTTGATTTTGGTTCTTTCGGGATGTGTGTGTATATTGCAATACATTGCTCTCTAAACACTGTTTTTACTGTGTCCCAAAGGTTTTAGTATGTTGTGTTTTTGTTCTCGCTTTATTCAAGGAATTTTTAAGTTTCGTTTTTTTTAATTTGTCCTATTATCCAGTAGCTTTTAAGCAGGGTGTTATTCAATTTCCATTTATCTGATTTTTAACCCTTGCTCTTCTTATTGTTGAGTTCTAATTTTATAGTGTTGTGATTTGAGAAGATGCTTTGTAGTATTTTGATGTTTTAAAACTGATTGAAGTTTGCTTTGTGGCCTAACATATGATCTATTGTCAGTACTAATATTTTCTTGTCCTTGCCACCTTGTTGCTTCAACTTTTGTAAGGAATAAAAAAAGACCTCACATTCAAACACATTCTATAACCCAAACCCAAAACCTATTGTCATAAAGTTGATTATGACTCGCAGCAAGTATATATAGGCTCTGAGACTTTAAATCTTTATAGGTGCAAACAGCCTCATCTTTTTTTTTTTTCCTTTCCAGAGGAGAGACTGGTAGGCTTGAACCACCAACATTGTTGTTAGCAGTTCAACACATAATCCACTATGCCACCAGGCCCTCTTAAAACAGATCCTATCGAGACAAAGTCCCTTTTATTAAGCCTTAAAGAAGTCAAAGATAAAGCAAAGACAATCATTCAGATGAGGGAAATCACTAGTATTAGACCAAAATGGAGTCCACGGATTGGGCTATGGGGCTAATTACAGATGATAGAAAACAAAGGAAATCATCACAAAGTCATGATTGGCGGCAGGTTAGTTCATCACAGGGAGACAACAGAAGCAGGAAAAGGACCAGGATGGGGATAATTACACAATTGCAGATTTAAGAAGCTTACAGGATTGGTTCAGGGGTTTGACCACTTGATCAGGAGGTGGTTGGGAAATGACTCATAACCTGGGACATAGACACCCAGACCCCAAATTTTAACTTATTCAGTTATTCAGTTATTGTGAACAGCTCATTCAGGACACACCCAGGCAAGCTGGGGCCAAAACTGTCTCTCCCTGGGCTTACTAAACCAAAACCAAAACCAAGCCCACTGTCATGTAGACAATTCTGATTCACAGTGACCCTAGGTAGAGTTTCTGAAACAATAAACTAAGGTTTTGAACTGCTGACCCTGTGGTTTGCAGTCCAGTGCTTGTCTTAACAATACTCCTGGGCACACTAGGTAGTTGTAATCTACTTTGAAACATGTGCTACCTGAGGACAAAGTTGTTCTTCCTGATATTCACCCCAGACTTGTATTAGCCACATTGTTGGTTTAATGATCAGAAAAAACTTAATGTCGAGACTCTAAATGGAGATAGGGTTCCCACTGTAGACCATAGCCTTCCACAAACCAAGTGCTTAAATAATTTAAGCTCTAATACAAACTCTGGAGCTCTGGTAGCGTAGTGGTTACGAATCGGGCTGCGAACCTTCAGGTCAGCGGTTCGAAACTACCAGCTGCTCCGCGGGAGAAAGATGAGGCTTTCTACTCCCGTAAAGATTTACACCCTCGGAAACCCTGTACAGGGTCGCTATGGGTCGGAACCGACTCGACGGCACTTAACAACAACAAAATCTTTGAAACAGTGGTGCTATATTTCAGGGGAAAAGTCCTGTAGCCCAGTGGGTAGGCACTTGACTGCTAACCAAAAGGCTAGACCAACCAGCTGTTCAGTGGGAGCCTTGGGAATTTTCTGGGGGCAATTCTACTCTGTCCTGCGAATTGCTATGAAATCAACTCTAGGCCAATGGGATTTTTGCTTTCTGTTTATATGTGGAGGGTAATGAGACCTGGCTTGCAAGCTCTGAAGAAGTCTTGCTACAGTTGACAATCGGTGCAGATTCCCTCCATCCAAGGAGGGGGCAAGAGTGCATGGAACCACCAGATTTCTGTGCCTGCCTGAGTAATTGTCACCTTGGCCTCTTCCAAATAAAAAAAATACATCTTTTCAACAAAGTATGTGCAAAGGAGGTTCATTACCTTAAAACACATGAGTGTAATAATGTTCCCATTATTTACTACTATTGTTTATGATGAGGATGACGACACTGATAGTTGAGCGACTAGGTGTGCGGGGGAGTGGAAGAGGGGGAGGGGGTAGAGGGAAGAGGGCTGAGGTGGCAGGAGAAATAGGAACTACATCTCCCAGAATCACTCGGGAGACTACACGCCGCGGGACGGCGCCCCGCCCATTTCGCCGACAGGCCCGCCTATGTGGTGACATCACAGAGGTGACGTCACGGCGCCCGAGCGAGGCTAGGGTAGAGAGGCCGACGGAGCTGGAGTCGTCCGCTTGTAGTGGAGGCTGCTGGGGAGCCGGGAGAGGGTGAGCGGCGAGCAGGCGAGCGAGCCGGAGCAGGCAGGAGGGAGCGTCGCGCGGCGCAATCTAGTGCCGGGACCGGGCCGCGGCGGACCCTCCGCCGGAGAGGGGCAGTCGGAGCCGGGCGCCGCGGGTCCCCACCCCCACCCAGCCGGACAGTGCTCGGTGTCCCCCGAGCGAGGGGCGGCGGCAGCGGACGGGACCCAACAGGACCGCGGGGTGTTGCCATCTCCACCGAGGCGCCGGCGCGGCCGCAGGCTCCTCAGAGCCGGGCCAGGGGCCCGTGACAGACGGGCCGAGGAGGGGAGAGAGGCGGCGGCACAGGCGACGGGGAGGCAGCGGCGACACCATGTCATCCCCCAGTCCGGGCAAGAGGCGGATGGACACGGACGTGGTCAAGCTGTATCCTTCGTGGAGGGGAATTCGGGCAGCGTGTGGGGGGCGGTGTGGGGGTGCCCAGGACACCCCTGAAACCAAGCAGGGGCTCTGGGGCACTCCAGGCCAGTGTCCGAGCCTCTTCTCCCTCCCCCAGTGCCTACGGCGGCTCCTTGGCACCTCCCCGGAGCGAGAGCACTCTCAGCTCCTCCTTTATCTGCAGCACCCCTAAATTTGCGTCGTTGCTTGCTCTTCCTGCACCCCCATTACCTGTGACTTTACTCCACGACGTTGAGACTCCCAAGACGGCCTTTTTAGTATTTTTTAGTTGTTTTATTTATTTATTTATTTTTTTGCAATGTTGGCCACCACCTCACCCTCGTCCCACCTTCAGAATTCCTCTTTCCTGTTTTCTCCCTCTCGATATAGGGACGCTCGGTAGAAATTCCCGGGGGTGAAGCCTCTCCCCCTTTCTGGAGACGCCCCTCCACTCACAATCCTTGACATGGAGTAACTCAGGTGACCTCCTTTCTCCCTAATTGTTTGCTATATTAGGAGAATCGTCTGTTCGCTGCCCCCTCTTGTGATAAACAACCTTGAGAATTTTGAGTCATGGACCCCCATGAAGCTTTTGATCCCTGAAAGAACCCTACTGCCGTCCTATCTACGGACAAAGCCTACCCTATCCATAGTTGTATGTGATGAGGACCCCCCTTGCCCCCCGGCCCTCCAGCAAACCACCCTCCATATTGTGACTATGACAGCTGGGGGTGGGGGCTGTAGAAAGGACTCTTGGATAAAATACCCCTGGACTGTCCACTTGAGTAAACTCCCTCTATGAAGCTAAGGTTCTTGGGGAGTAATTGATCTGGCCAAGTGACAGCCTTTATTTGTATCCCTCCCCCCAACTTTTTACAATGTAAAGGTAGCACCGGGGGAAAGCCCATGGTTTTGGTTGGATCCAGGACTGGTATTTATTTGGTGAGCAGAGACATTCGGCATCTCACGATAACATGGAGGAATTTCTTAGGAGTAATTTAGAGGGTGGGAGAGAGAGGAAGTGAGCCTAGTGCCCTGAACAATTTGTCCCTGGGAGGGAGACAAGGGTGATGGGATGTAGAACGCAGTTACTGTGGGCTCCTGCTTCTCTTCGGCCCCCATCCCCCTATCATCTCCCCACCATCTCCCCCTCTTGCAGGGTTTTGTTTATATAACTCAAGTTGTTTGGCTAGATTCTTAAGGTGAATTTCTGCCCTCCTTCCTTTAATTTGTTACTGTTATTAATTGGATGGTTTGCCTCTTTGGAGAGATCTGTGGTTATTGTCAAATAATTTCAGTTAGGGAATTTGCTGAAGTTTTTTTAAAAACTACTTATTTTATTAGGTTTGAAAGTGGGGGATGGGAAGGAAGTTGCCTGGGCACGAGATTTTTTTTTTTTTTTTCTCCAACCCTTAATCTTTAAAGGCTTAAGGTGTTTTTCGCCTTGCTGAGTAAAACTTGATAAGAAATTAGCAACAGTAGATAAACTTTTAAGTTTCAGGTTTGAGTTTAGAATGGGGGGGCTGTGAGAGAAAAGATTTGAGAGCGTCTCAAGTGTGAAAGTACATACAACGTACCAAATGTATGCTTAGGCACAAGTTAAATCAAGTCTTTACGAGCTGTTTGTGGCCGTGATTGAGTTGCAGACCTTACAAATGGTATCAGTAATGCTGGCATTTCATAAGGTTGAAGGAAAACTTGTAACTCTGACCGTGTGTGTACATTTTACACAAAGCAGTTTGACCTTTTATTTTTGTTTAGAAAGGAGGAAATGACCTGGTGGCAGAAGCTTTGAGTTATTTTTATCTTGAATTAAGAGTTACTGTCACACCTAATGCAAATTTCTACCTCGTGTTTAATTGACTGGGGCTGGGAGAATTCCAGCTGTTTCTGATCAATGTCAGATTCTCCAATTATGTACATAGTAGATATTTTTAAAGATTGAGGCAAAGGGTGAGGCCTAACTTGACCTGATGCCTTTTCAATACAGTGTCTTTTGTTCATTTAGTAGTTGGTTGGGGCTTCTAGAATGATTACCGCGTTTAGGAGTCCGGGTTGGGGGGGGAGCGGGGGCAGGAGAGGAGAGTAAAACAGACAAAGACCAGCGGGGTGTCCTCCCCCCCCCCCAGTGGCTTATTTCATACCTTATTTTTAGTAGAAGATGAAGAAAGGCAAACATGCCTCTGCTTTTCTGCTCTCTCCCCACCTTCCCCCTTCCTGACAAAAGAAAGCAGAGGCTTTCACGGTGTAGATCTCTGAGATGGGAGGCTGGCAATGTCGCGATTTGCCAACCAGAGCTTATCTGCGCCGTGTGTGTTGTTTTCTGGTGGCACGTAGTTGGGAAGTTAACATTTTCAGATTTCCCTTTGTGTGGATGGGTGGTGGGGGTGAACAGAGCCTGTGGTCTCCTTGATCGGTTGAATTCCCATCAGTAGGCCCAAATGGAGCCATCAGATTTTGAGTGTAAGGTATACTAAGCCCCCAAAACGAAAGCAAAGCACCTCCAGTCTACTACCATGAGTAACAGAGGGGGTGAAAAGGGCCTGGCGTTAAAATGGAAGGTGGTGGAACGGAGGAGAGGAAGTAGAAAGAAAAGGTCTGAAGGAATGTCTTACTCTTGCCCCTCCGTGCCCCTTGCTGATTTCTTTAGTGTAGAGGCTTAGAGCTGGTTTCACGGCCGTCTCCTCTTTCAGCCCATTTTGGAATGTCTCCTGTAATTATGCCACCAGGATTTACAGCCTGGTGGGGACCCTATCTAGTGGGAAAGTAGGGAATGGTGGGGGTAGGGAGACCAGGGACGGTAACTAATTGGCCACTGCCGTCCACCACCTCCCTAGGTTCTTCACGGAGGTTGTTTGGAGTCAGTGATCATTTCTTTTGTGACGGGTTGGTAGGAGGAGAGCCGAGTTAGGCAGGGAGTGAGTGTTTTGCACCGATGCACTTAATCTGCTGGGCGATTTTGTTCTGAAACTCTGACTCATTCATTGTTTCTTTGCCGATCCTCTGCTGAGGGTTGTGCAAACCTCTCCCGGAGCCTAGAAACCGAGTTATATGACTTTGGGCCCTGTAGGAATGCGTCCCAATTAAAAAACAAAAACAAAAAAACCCCCTCGAACCTCGCAGTAAGCCCAAACTAGGTGACTTGGTCTCGCACAGCGTGGCCACGTTTGTTTGCCAAGGCAGGTAGATGGGTGAGACTGCGCAGTTCCCAGCTTGGCAACCTTTGAGGTTTGCATCGCCTACCGGGCTGATTATTTAGATTGAGAACTGGGACCTAAGCGTGATTTGCCCTGAAGGAATACCGGTTTAAGTTCTCCCTGGTGGGGGAGCGAACAGCTCAGGTTACTCCGGTTTCCTTGTTGGTGGGGGCCGCTTGTCTCACCCTGTTGCACAGCCTTGGTGATCCTTTATCAGTGGCCCCTGCTACAGGCTCGATCTGCTTGTTTTGGAAAAGCATTTGCAGGCAAAAGGCCGCAGGCACAGCTCCTCGCAGCTCATTGGTTGCTCTGTTACTACCCGGAAAAGGAGGAGGGGTGGAGCCACCAAACAGCTGATGGAGTGTGACAAGACAGCGTGTTTATATACAAAAGAGGTGGGGGCTGGGGAAGCTGTGAGCTGCGATCCCGGTTCCAGTAGGTTTTCAAGGGGCAAAAAGGAAAACATGACCCTGTTGGAGTACAGAATGTTCAAGAATACTGAGATTTAATCAGAAACGGGGGTCTGATGATAAGAGGAACTTGGCAGAGACTGTATTTGTTATTGATGTGAGATTTTGCAACTTAGTTAATAATACCAAGAGTTTGAAAAGATTCTCTTTTTCAGAGGGAGTACAGTGACTTAAAATAGAACAAATAACTTTAAACATGTTTACCTGACTAATGCCCGTTTGAAAGGGTTTGCAAGAGCATGTAGAAAGTTACGCCTTCCAAAGTGGTGGTCAGCTGAAATTCACCACAACTTATGGAACGTTTGAGAATCTTTGGTGTCTGCTTTAGGGTTTCGGAAACTGTGTGTAACATGCTCATCTCCCCACATTTTTTCAGCACCCTCTGTGCCAGGCATGTTGCTAGGTGCTAGGAGGGGGTGGTCAGTAGTGTGGGTGGTCATCTTGCTTATATAATTAGTTTTGTTTTGCCACAAAGCTCAGACTGTGCTTATACCAAATCAGCCCTGTGTATCACCTTGCTTTTGCATAATTTGTATTTACTGACAGAATTGACTTTTTAAGGAGTGGAAAGATTCCCTGCCACCACCCCCACCACCCAAAGTGAATTTTAAGTGATGAGATGTATGGGGCTCTGTATTCTTGCTAGTTACTAAAAAGACATTAAAAACAGAAACAAAAACAAGCGTTAAGATGTGTAGTCATTTGTCTTGGCAGTATGCTATTCATGAGTTCTGTTCTATCCCTAAATTTTAGTGAGTCTTTGTTACAGCCCTGTGTGTTCCAGGTGTAGACAATTCTATAATCTTTTCAGCAGCTCCAGGCTCAATTGGGAACCTTTGGTTTGCCTTTTATTTCCCTGGGCCTTTCTCCTAGTGAGGTGGAATGGAGGATGGAACCGGTTCATGGTCCTAGAGTCTTTAAATGAAAAGTTTTAAGATTTGGCAAATTCCAGTGTTCCAAATTTACCTTCTTAGCCTAGATTTTGGTGACAAATATAACATACTGGTACTTATCTTGGTGAAACAGGAACCAACATGAGTAAGCATTCACAGCTTCAGAGTATCTGATTCCTACAGTGCAGCTCTAGTAAATTACACAGAAGCTTGAAAGTTCAGCTTTTAGGGAAAAAAAAAATTTTTTTTTTTTTTTTGCAGTTGTGACCCATAAAAAATCCCTTACTGTCTGTTTGCATATGTTAGAATAAGCTGGACTTGTTAGTTTTCAAGGTATTACAATTTTCCCTAACCCTGATCTTCTATGTATCTGTATGTGTATACATGTATATATACCAACATATACACACACACACACACACACACAC